TATTCTTCCTCTTGCCCTCCTTTCCCCTTCCTGTCTTCATCCCTCTCTTTTCATTCCTATAATCATCTTCTCTTTCTTCTTCTCTTTTTGCCTCGAAACTCCCCAGCTTTCTCTCCCCTTCTCCTCCTCATCCCCTCCTCCCTCTCCCTCAACCCTGCCCCCCTCACACTTCTAATTAGATTTGGGGGGGGAAATGAACTCTGATTAAAATCATGGTCCTTTCCAACTTGACACACCACAGGCACACACACCCACACACTGTCTGCTGCACACAAACACACACCTGACACACCTGACACACACACACACACACACACACACACACACACGGTCACATGGCACGGCCCGTTGAAAGGCCCAGGGCATGCTGGGAGCTTGTTTGGAAGATGTAGGAGCTGTGATATATTGGAGGAGAAGACAGTGGCTGCCGTTCAAACCTCCTCCTCCTCCTCCTCCTCCTCCTCCTCCTCCCACCCTTCTTCATCAAGACCTCCATTAGTGCAGATCAGATCAAACTGTCAATCAGCCCGTCCTGCCTGCCTGCTCCGATCTAGACTCATGATTTCTCTCTCTGTCCCACCATGCATTATTAACACAGATTTTCTCATATCCTGAGAGGAAATTAAAATCTGTGTTGATGTGTCTGTCCCTATGCACGTGTGTGTGTGTGATTGTGTGTGTGTGTGTGTGTGTGTGTGTGTGTGTGTGTGTGTGTGTGTGTGTGTGTGTGTGTGTGTGTTGTGGCTGATAAGTATCTGTTGAGCCTGCAGTTGTTTGGTGGACAGGTTGGCAGCGTCAGTCTCAGGATGTGATCAGGAGTCACTGAGGCTGATTCCTTTTATGGCAGAAGTTTTTAGCTGTGGATGGAGTTTGGAGTTGAGGTGTTCAGCGGGGACGATTCATGTGTCCGAATCACAAAGTTCACAAAGGCGCCTTTTTACTTTTAGCAAACAGGTGTTTTAACGTTTAAACGAACAAAAACACTGAAACTCTTTCATACAACATTTTGTGACGTCCAGTATCAACGTTTCATCAGTGTCATCGGCCGTCAATCAAATCAAATCAAGTGTATTTATAAAGCACATATAAAACAACCCGTTACAATGCAAACAAATACCACGACGTAGTAACGGCTAAAAGGAAACTGTCTCACTGGCAGACGGGGAACAGCTTGAAATAAAAAGACAAGAAACCACTTTATTTATTTACAGAAGAAAAGTGTCACGACTGTGCTGAACTACAAACTAGGAATCTGTTCACTATGAATAATATTTGAACTGTCTTCTAAACTAATTCATGAAATCTCTTTTATTCAATGTTAATAAACAATTCAAAAACGACTAAAATACTTAAGGTTAAGGTTCAGGAAAGATCAAGATGTGGTTTAAGAAAATTAAACATTAACTGTTGTGATGTAACAGGATCATTACACATGACAGAAATGCATCTTCTATTTTAATGGGATTATTTATTCTATTCTTTTCTCTAAAACGGCCACGAACTGCGAAATATAAAACCCTCAGATCATTTAAACTCAGAGCACATGATGTTGGCAGTATTAAAAATAGAACTTCAAATATCTCATAAGTAAAAAAAAAGATATGATATGTTGTGAAAATCAATTTTCAGATGCATTTTGAAAAAGGCTTTAAATAGAGGAAAAACAGTTTAGTTGCCAAACTTCCAGCTAAAATGACTGGGACTGTTTTTTTCCGAGGGAAGGAACTCGGTCGTGTGACTTCCCAGAAGCACCTGAGCTTATTTTAGAGCTCCGGAGTGTCAAGTGCCAGAAGTGAAAAATATTTAAACTGTAAGCGCCACACATGGATTTTAGCTGACAGATAGCGGAGCCCACCTGCTGACTGATGAGTACCTTATATGAAAGTACAGCTGACAGAACATCTGTGTCCATGCGAGAGCTGGAAATAGATTCTGCAAAGATATTAAACATTCAAATCCCCAGACCGACTTGTCAGCGTGTCTAATGCTAATTTATACAACTCTGAATGTATTTCTACACATTGGCAAAGACTTATTAACAAGAATGTTCATGCATTTCAACTACAGTTAGAAAAAACCCCAAAAACAATCAAAGCATCAAACCTGTAAGATTTACCTCGCCTGCTTCTGTCCGTACGACGGGTCCGGTGCGGGGGGGCTACTCACTTCCTGTCCATCAGCACCTTAACGTCATCTCTTTTTCTTTTTTTCAAAGCAAACAAAACGTGAAAAATATCAAACTAATTCTTGAATATTTCCCAGCACAATATGGAGGGTGTGTTTATTCTCACAGTTACGGTCAGAGCAGTCGAACCGCAGCCTGACGAGCTGAACTGAGGGAATAAACCTCCCTCGTTCACACCAGCTGCAGCATCACCAGGCTTCAGTTTAGCATTAGTCTCGTTTGGCATGTTAATACACCTGACCTTTGACCCCTGCTAGTGATGAACTCATTGCTCTTGGTGCTGATTAGGACGACCCCTCTCCCTCTGTCCTCCGCCGCATCCCTCGCTCTTAAACAAGGGGCTCCCAATTAGTGCAGCGCTTAACGAGGTCGTTAGCAACCTGGCGTCCGCGAGTCCCCGGCTCCACCGGCTCCACCGGCTGATATCCGTTAGCGCTCAGGGAACGCTCATCTGGCTAAATGGGACATTTACACTAACCCAACACAGACACACACACACACACACACACACACACACAGTCATTTAGATATTAATGTAATGGAAGCACGTAGGCGTCATTAAAACATTAAAGAGTTGTAAAATCTAAACAGTAAAATACACAGAGCTGATGATGGAGAGAAGAAAGAGAGACTTCTAGATGAGATTTTATGAAGTCATCTCCCGGATTATCTTCCCTGTCTTTTCCTTATCACCATCATTTTATGTGAAAAGGTAAAGATAATGATCTCTTATTCCTTGTGACGACATGAGGGGAGCGGCTCAGCTGCTTATTTCTTCTCACATGCAGTAACGTAGACGCTCCTCACTCCAAGAATGACACAAAAGGAGAAAAGTGGTTGAAATGAAAGATGAAAATATCGAATCCCTGCGGCGGTGAACCGTTTACATGATGTTTGCGCGCGGTATTAGGATGTCCACTTATATGTGGCCGTATCTGCAAATGTTAAAAAGTAGAAAAGACTGAGTCATTATTTACAGTCGATGTTTACCGGCTGCAATCTGTCATGTCCACTGAACTACCATTAAACCTTTCAACTCCATTACTAGAGGCAAGAGGAAACACAGTTTTATCACTTTTTAACTGAATTCAAAATGGCAACCAAGATTCTTCCAGCTTGCGTCTTTATTAAATCACAAGTGGCTCATAAACGTCTGAAAGAAGAAATACTGAAAGAGGCTTCTTTTAAAATGAAATGTCCGGACACGGCAAATATAGTTCTAATCACCAGTGTAAAAAACAAACTGCAACTGGCTAAACTAAACTAAACTGTTAAACACATGATGAAACAATAGATCTACAGCTACAGACTCGCCTCAGCGTTTCCTTGTGTTGGAACACCTTAAAGTGTCATCGACTGCATAAATACATGTTTAATAAAAGCGTCAGAGAAGCTGCATACACTCCCCTCTGTCACTGCTTCTCACTGACTGTAGTTTCTCATCTCACACACACACACTCAGCACAGACACACACACACACACGCACACTCTCATAAGTCACAGACACGCACACTCAGCACAGACAGCTATAACAGAAATGTATGTGTGTGTGTGTGTGTGTGTGTTTGTGTGTGTGTGTCCTCAGCCTGTGACGAGTGGACGGTCCTCCCCAGACCAGGGCTGCACCGCGACGTCAACCGCTTTGGACACTCGGCTGTGGTGAGCAACGGGTGAGTTCCTTCCTTCCTTTTCGTCACTGTCCGACCTCTGACCTCTATAGAACATAGAGTGCAAGAGAGTTAATGCGTCGCTTGAGGACACGTCAGCGGTATCATTTCAGTCTCTGGTAAATAATCTGCTAAACTACTCAGTTATATTTTATGCAAATAAAACCCGTATATTCACAGCGCATTATTCCTCGGTACATTTTTACATTTTCCTTGATGTCTTCCTGCGGTGTCCTCTAAGTTTTCGGAGAGTCTCTGTCGACTTTCTTCTCCGTCCTTCTCTTCCTCAGTTGTAGACGGTTGTGTAGGGATTGATGTCTTTATCTCAGTGTTATATTTAGTTTTAGTTTACACTTCTCTTCTCCCTCTGCTGGATTCTCTGAAGCTCTCCGCTTCACAAACTGTGTCTCTGCCGCTTCATCTCTTGTCTGTATGGGGACGTTTCTTCTGCTTGACGCTCAGTACTTTTCCTACACGTCTATGTATAAATACAGTGTGTGTGTATATATATATATATGTATTTCTCTCTAATACTTTTCCCATTTTTGAATCTGTATCTCTGGGTTTTGCTTCATTCACACAGAAAAGTTAGTCGAACCAGTTCCTCCAGCCTTGTGTTGTGGTTTCTAAAATAACACGGTGTTTGAATGGCTGCATTGTCTCCTGGCAAACCATTCAGACTGCTGCTTTCAAAGAGAGAAGCCTGCGTAGAACTGTGAGAGAAGGAAACAGCTGTTGTTGACGCACCTTGAATTCCTCAGCCGATGTTCTCTTGTGTATTTTATTTTATTTTTTCTTCACCTCATGAAAAACCTGAAGATAACTCGACATCACGTCGAGGGTTTCTCAGAGCTTCTGCACTGTAGTCTGATAAAAGATGTTTTTTCTCTCACTCCAGTCAGACTACGGGACGTTTTATAGGTCGGTAAAACACCAACGACATGAAATGTAAAGAATGCTCTTATTTATCATTGTTTATGAGGATGTGGAAGGAGGTTACCAATATGTCAAAAATAAACCTTTAGAAAGATATTTTTATTTAATATTTTTATATCCACTGGATCAAAAGAGTCTAAATTTATACATATATTACCAGGAAAGCTTCTTATTGCTCTGAGCTGGGCAGACTGGGAAAAATAACACACTAGTGGTGATGTTGGGAATCCTCTCATGGATTAATGTAAATGTAAACAAGATATATCGACCTTATAAAGGGTGAAATGTCTGATGTCTAAAATTCATACATTAAATAACTTAAATAAATATAAAAAAAATCTTCCCATATTGTGAAATTGTGATGTTTTATGTGCTCTTCAAAACTATATGAAGGACAAAAGGCCTGTTTGGTGGGAAAACCTGAATGACAACAAATACTCCGACTTAAAAAGGTTGGGAGAGTTCGATGGTGATGCAGAGGAACTCGGCGCTGACCCCTTTAACGCCATTTACCCACCAAAAAGTCAGCTTTGAGCACGTAAATGTCAGCTTTGAGCTTCACACGGCCGGCTTTAAACAACATCCCCCCCCCCCCCAAACTAAAGTTCAGGTTTGTTTTTGAATGGTTTTTCCTGTTTTCTTATCGTTTCTCTAACTGTTTTCATCTCTGCCGGCGTTTTCTTCTTTGTCTCTATAAAACAAAACTTCCCCCTTTCCACAGCTGTGTTAATCCTCCCTGTGTCTTCTTCAGCTCCATGTTCATCTTTGGAGGTTTTTCGGGCCTCCTCCTGAACGACGTGCTGGCCTACACCCCTCCGTCCTGCCCGGCCTTTTCCAGCCCAGCTGCGTGCGCCGCTGCCGGGCCGGGCCTTCGCTGCCACTGGGTCCTGAGTAGATGTGTCCCCTGGGAGGCGAAACCACCTGAGGAGATTCTGCCGGCGCCGTTTTGCCCCGTGCGACCCGGTGCGTCACCCCGGGGCTGCCGTCTGCCCGGCTCATTCTTTGCCATTTCATCCGTGTCTGTGACTTTTTCTTTCTTTCTGTCTTCCTTTCTTTGTCATGTCAACATTTTGTCTGAAATGCACAGCGCAATCACACAGGACTGCTGCTCCCAAAAGACCCATTCTTTTTCTCCACGAGAATTATAATTATTCTCAAGTATTTGGCTTCTGAGGTTAGTTTGCATAACATAATTATGGGAACAGAAGGTCAATGCTGCAACAATTACCTCATTTTAAAGTAATTAGGATTGGTCCAATCCCTCCTCCTCCTCCTCCTCCTCCTCCTCCTCCTCCTCTCACTCCCCCTCATCTGTTTCTGCCAGATGTAGATGCAGCAGCGTTTCCAGGTATTCTGCTTCAGGCTGCTCACTGCAGGTTTAAATTGAAAGCAATTATGATAATGGTTGTTCTTTCAATTTTAAGTACAACAATACCACTCATAGATTGACTACATTAAAGGGCCGTACTCATGGTTTTGCATGTGACCATCTCCCCCACATACTGCTAACTCCAGCTCACATGCATTTTTATTTAAACTTCATATTTTGGACTTTTTATCGACTATTTAAGGCGTCCATTGGTGTCCATTCATTACCATATACTTGCATACACTATCTGTGTATGTGTGTGTGATATTAAAGGGAAGACCTGCCTCACCAAAAATAACTGATGACATACAAATCTGGTCGTTGGCTGAGGCTTTTAGACGCCGCTGTGTATCCATCAAAATGAGATTAACATGTATTCTACAAATAAAAGATATAAAAGAAATAAAAGCAGCAGGACATAACTTCCCTGCCCATGTGTAAAACACCTGTTCATCACATCCTGAAACACAGAAATCACATTAGGTCACACTTCATAAAAGCGTTTCTGCTCATTCACGGACGCCACGTGAGTCCGTCTGTTCCAGTTTCCTTCATGACATTTCAGGCTGACTTTACTCAACGCTTTTATAACCACAACACGATTACAAATGGTGGCCGAGCATATTTCCATTTGACACAGGAAGTGTGTGTTTGTGGTTGTGTGTGTGTGTGTGTGTGTGTGTGTGTGTCGTCTCCTCCAGACAGTACAGACGAGCAGTGTTTCCGCTTCTCGGACTGCGCGAGCTGCACCGCCAACACCTGGGGCTGTCAGTGGTGTGAGGACAGGAAGTGCATCTCTGCATCCAGCAACTGCACCGTGGTGAGTCCTTTCACCGGGGCGTCCGTGAGAGCGAGCGCTCCACGCCGTTGGTTATTGTAGAACAAACTTTACTCGGGGGCTGGACTGTGAGGGGAGGTTGCTAGAGTTGTGTTTGAAATCAAAAGGGGTTGGTTCTACTCAGGGAGGCATGAACGTGCTCTGTAAATTACACTGCACTTCTGTCCGTTACATTATAAAAGGTGACATTTTGGTTCCAAAGTTGCACTAGATGAGAGCTAGTGGAACAGAAAGGGTGCGCTCTGTGTACAGGGTGAAACTTTGAGCCGATGGTTCCAGGAAGGTTTGAAAAAGCTTAAAGAAGTCGATATCTCAGCTATTCCCCTTTTTTAAATGAGCTCACTCATGGTCTTTGTGTGTGATTGTCCTCTAATTCAAATGCCCAAAAATCTCATCATCTAACTTCATCATCTTTTAACCTTTCAAGGATGTTGAAAAAATTTAAAAATTTAAACGATAACATCAGATAATTCAAGATGTGCGAAGTTTTTATTAGTGAGTGTTTTTGTTCATTTTGTTTTCTCTCTGTCTCTCTTTCTGTTTTGACTCCCGACCCTGCTCTCTCTCCGTCTCTCTCTGTATGTGTCTGCATGTTGCTTTTGTGTGTTTGTGTGTGTGTGTGTGTGTGTGTGTGTGTGTATGTGTGCGTGTGCGTGTGCGTGTGTGCGTGTAGTTGACTCTGGAGCTGGCCCAGCAGCATGGCGGCGCTCTGTCTCTGTCTCCACCTCCATCCATGTTGTCTGAACATCAGCTGAGCTTGTGGAAGCACGGAGCCAGGAGGAGGGGACATGTGTGTATTGTTTGACACTTGACACCTCTCGTTAGGCTGCGTCAGGTTGAGGTCAGAGGTCAGAGGTCAGATACAGGTCAGAACAGCCCCCGAGGTGATATAGAAATCGAGGGTGAAATCTAAAGCCACGTTCACATCTAACGCATGTGTTAGGATCTCAAACCGTAGAAAATGCACAAATGAGTGCAGTGAGAAAACGGCTAAAAATTAAAATCAAAAATCAGGTTGTGGAGCAGGTCGGCCATTGATCCCCCAGGTTGTGACAGGAAAGACATCCTATGCCAAATATCAGATATACAGATGGTGATCCGCTGCGTTGATCAGCAACAACAATCAAAACAGAGAAATCCAGCTCTGCACGAAAACGTTAATTTCATTAATATTAGTCTCTTTGACGTCTCGGTAAACCAGCTAAGAAACGGGGCCGAGGTAAAACATCTGTTTAGAGATTTTTCTGTGACTCGTTATGGTCAGTTCACCTTGTCAGGATGAAGCGGCACGAAGCTGAATATAGATCTTCCTCGTTAGACGTTTGTCTTTGCTGAGGAGTAAGCGAGACGCACAAGGCGTCTACGGTAAACACAACTTCAGTAAAAAAGTCCATCTCAATATAACGCCTCCCTCGTATCGGTGTTTTATCTTTTCACTCTGCGTGTCGTGTTCGGCTCGACCATCACTTTATTCATCTTCGGCCTTTTGTTGCACATTGTATTGATCTCTCCAAGTTTATTGCATCAGCAGTAGAAGAGGATGGAGTCGAACTGGTACTGATATTGTCTCCTCTCTCTGTGTGTGTGTGTGTGTGTGTGTGTGTGTGTGTGTGTGTGTGTGTGTGTGTGTGTGTGTGTGACTGTGTGTGTTGTGTGTGGGGTGTGTGTGTTGTGTGTGTGTGTGGTGTGTGTGTGTGTGGTGTGGTGTGTGCGTGTGTGTGTTGTGTGATGCTGTGTGTGAAGTCGGTGAAAGACTCGTCCAGGTGTAAGCGCAGGGAGGAGCAGGAGTGTTTCAGACTGGCCAACTGCAGGAGCTGCTCCCTCAACGTCCACTGTCAGTGGGAGCCGCAGCAGCAGGAGTGTCAAGCGCTGCCGGGTGAGGAGACGCACACACACACACACACACACACACACACACCATCATGAATGCACACACAGCAGGAGCATGAAACGCGTCTCCCTGCGTCATTGCAGAAGAAAACAATCTCTCTTTTTCTCCCCCCCCCCCCCCCTCCTCTATCTCAGGATATTTCTGAAGGACACTGCTCAAATTAAATTCATGAAAACTCATTTTATTCTGAGGAAATCTTTGGGAAGAGAAACTTAGTTTATAAGCTGCTTCCTGAGGCTGCGGCATTATGCAGCAAAAATTAAAACACCTTGAGGATCTGCACACAGATACTTGCAAGCGTGCATAAATTGTACTTTCATAAAAAGCCGCGTGGATCCTTTTTTTCGATTACGCGTGACACCGGACTGAATGCTGTTGATTGATACATTATTAAGAGTCTGGCGGAGTCGCCTTTGCAGTCATCATCTCCCAAGTAATTATACTTATTTTTCAAAGTCGTTGAGGGAACGCTGTCCTCTTGTTGCACACACAAACACATACACACACATGACACACTCCGCTTCAGAGCAGTTGCATGTTCCCACGCTAAGTGGCTGCATATTATTAGTGGTCTTCACAAATAAACGCCCTCATACATCCATGCAGGCATGTGCACATTCAGGATTAGCATACATTCATGAACGCACACTTCAGAGATGTGCTCTCCACACAGCTGCAAAGAGAACTAGGCCAATTAGAAGTGTTTACTGGATGTTCTGGATACAGATCTTTGGCTGACTAACAAAAAAAAACCAGAGTCCACAAAGTCCTCCTCCGTACTCTGGAGCTGCGCTCAGTGTGACTTTGGTGCTACCGTGACTTAGGGCAAAAGGAAATACCCGTGCCATTTGAATCCACATGTGATCCAGTTTCGCGGCGGTGTCGCTAAAGGGCGGGCTAGCTGGTTCTGCTTAGAACTGGGAGTTTGCAGTAGCTTTGAGCAGAGGATGGTACTGCGTTTGCTCCCTTTCTTCTGTCCACATCAAAGCCCCGCAGCCTGGTACATCACGTCCTCCCCCTCGGTTTGTTGTGTGCTGAGTTAAGGCGAGGTAGTGCGAACATGGACAACTGCAGTATAATCCAAGAAAATGTGGTTTTGTTAACTTGCAGTTCTAAACTACTGCACGTCTAAAACTGAGCAAAATTCTGTTACCACAACATTTTTCAGATGCTCCTACATTTAATATAATTTATTCATTAGGTTGTTTGTAACCTAGATCGGTAAAAACCAAAACCAAAAAACCAGTTTGACCCAAATCTGAGCTACAATCCTATCGCGGAGTAATCACTGTATTCTGCAGATTAAAACCTCAGAACTGCTTCTTGACTCGTCGCCCGCTTCGCAGCTGTGAAAAATAAATCTACAAGATTGTAGGATTATAATTTAGTGATATGCAGGGGGTGCCGCCATGAGCCCTGCACACTTCATGTATTATCCAAGTACTGTCGACATCCGTATGTGTCAAAACAAATACTGAAAACAGCTTGTACGTCTTTGATATTTCTGTTGATCATTGATATTATTGATAGGATATTTTCTTTTTTTCTGATTCATTTCCTGCTGTTTATGGACGTGAGCACAGAGTCTCCCAGTATATCTTGTTTATTCTCGACAGCTGGGAAGTTAGAGACGACAATTTTTCCTCAGTTTTTCTTTTTAAACCTCATTGATTTGAAGAGGAGTTAAAAAATAAACACTGAGCTTCTGTTTTCTATGTAAATTGGATTTGGGATAATGTTCGATAATATCAAATATCACGATATTTACCACGATATGTGGTAGATAAAATCGCTTACACCTATATCATATATCACAATAATTGGGCTGGACTGTATCGAGTTCACCCACGCCTCGTGTAAATCATAAGAATATAAAGTTTCTCTACTTTCCCGTCCTGTACAGTTGAGTCGATGGTTCAGCTCAAAATCGCTGTGAGTCGCCGGCTGCACAGATGAAATGAATATCTCTTTGTCTGTGGGTTTCACAGTCCATTAGTGTGATAAGGCAAGAGACAAGGCTCCTGTGTTTTTCTGTGATTTTCCTGTGAAGATACATGTGCAGGAACAGTGAGGCTGAAATGAACTGAGCAGCTCCGCCGCCGTGGCAGCTGTGGCCTTTTCTTTAGACACCATGTTATGACTAATTATTCTAAATGGCCTGACGTGTTTATCTCTGCTTTCACACAAAGACCGTAACCTAATCTGTCTATTTATTTTTCTACTTTCTACTATTCCCCCTTCATCTGTCTTCTTCCTCCTCCTCCTCGTTTTTTGGTTGATTATTGCTCATTTCTATCACACAGTGGTTGGGAGGGAAAAAATAAATAAAGAAAGCAGGTATTTTCTTTTATGTAGCATTAAAAGCTTGGTGATGGAAGCTATTATGGGCCTGTGAATGTAATCAGTCCTGGAGTCCTAAATAAACACCAGCGCTCAGTGGAGGCAGAATGACTTTTTCTTCCCCTTTCATCCTGGCAAATTGAACGGCCTCCCAACTACAACAGTGCCCCCCCCCCCCCCCCCCCCTGCAAGACGCTACCGAGTGACCCCGATGAGAACGGGGAGTGCACGTACGGGTCTTTATGGGTGAGCCGTCTGCCGGCCTTACTCGGGCTTTGTTAATAGAACCCTCCATCATTACAGATAATCGCTTTTCTCCGTGCCGCGATCGGGTCGGAACGAAGCAGGAATGTGCTCTCAGATCAAAAAAAACAACATCGTATATCAACGGTTACATCAGCCTCTAAATACGGTCCGACAACATCATGTGTAAACCTCGTTAACAAGAGATATTTCTGCTGATTCTGGCAGCGCAGTTTAGTGCAGCAAATCAACTGTCTCCATGGAAACAGTGAATTTTTACTGCTGTAAAATCTCTTTCACTGCTGCAAAAACACTTTCCTCAACTAAGGAGAAACTTAACTTAAACTGTCAACTTAAGTGTTTTGTGCAAGTGTAGTAAAACTATGAACATATTACCATGATAACGTTAGCATTGTGCTGCAGCATCGTGACGGTGTCTGCGCTTTGAGTTTAGTGCTGCTCTTATCATGTGTCGTCTCTTCACAAACACATGCAACACGTGTTTTTCTTGAACGTGAAATGACGACAAGGTTGCTCCCATGTGAATTCATGCTAATACAGATGCAGTGAAGGTGTTGAAACTGTGTGTGTGTGTGTGTGTGTGTGTGTGCAGGCCAGCTGTGTGGAGAGGGCTGGCACCATGTCGAGGAAGCCTGCCTGAGGATCAACTCCAGCAGAGAGAGCTACGATAATGCCCAGCACTACTGTAAAAACCTGGGAGGAAATATTGCATCTTTGCTCACAGACAAACAAGTTAATTTTGTTCTGGAAGAGCTTCAGAAATACCAGCTGCAAGATAAGGTGGGTGGTGTAAAAAAAAAAAAAAAGAATTAAAAAAATTAATTCATAACTAAAGGAGGTGACAGGATCCCTGTGTGCTAACAGCAGTGGTGAAAGCCTTTCATTATTTTCCACTCAGGCTTTTCTGCCTTATGAAATCGCTGCGGCTGTTCATACCTGCGCATATAAGATAGAAAAACCACACGTCAACCACGATTGGTGAGATCACCCGATTTAATTAAAACTGCAGAAGTAGCATGTAAGCGTCCTGACTGACTGTTTACCTGTGATTATTTAACCTTGTAAACATTAGAAAACCTGTCCTCAGCTCACGTCACACACACTAATGTCACTAATGTCAATTTTAACACAATACTCACATGCATGTATGTGAGTTGCAGGAGTTATTTGTCGCTGTAACCCTCCCTCCTGGTCACACTGGCCATGAAGTGATCCTGTGACCAGTTCCACTCCAACTCTGGAGTAGCGTTGCAGCAACCGACCAGTAACTGATTCTTAAAATGACCCATAAACCACTTTTTAAGACGCATTTTAGTTTAATTTAACTGGATTCAGTGTGTTAGTCATCGCACACCTGGATTTGAACCTATCAGAGAAACCTTACCTCTGTTCTTCCTGTTAAGCACTTAGAGAAGTGCTATATAAATAAAGTTTAATATTATTATTTCAGACTCAAAATACTCACACTGACTCACTGCTGAAGCCTTGACTATATACAGTCTGTGAGCGCCGTATTAAAACAGTTAATGAGTCTCTCCTTTAATAAGGAAAGTGCCTGTATGTTATCAGGCTGGTAAACTAATGCAAATTCTTTACAGTTCCACATGTGTGGCAACACCACACACACACACACACACACACACACCTGTAGGTACGGCCCAATCAAATCACTGTATCCGAGTGTAATCACAGCTTTCGGCTGCCTTTATCTTCCCTGTAGAGAATGAAGTGACACGTGGCTGATTGATGTGGACGAGCGGATTGATATGCAGCTCCCCGGAGTTCATTATACGACATAATGTACATAACACGGCTCCTGTGACAGTGTGATTTACCGTAAGATGCCAAGACAACGCAGTTACCTCTGCATCATAAATCCGTAGTTACTTATGATTAGATGTCGGGGGGAATGTGTGGTTTCAGGATCATAAAGATTGAGTTATTTAACATGAATGTATCACAACATCCAATCAAGGATGTGAAGAATCACAGCCAAGAAATTTGAAAGCACTCCTCATCGGGCTTTATGGGCTATTTAATATTCAGACTAATATCACAGCTCAAGACGTGTCAAGAAATATTTTAATAGCGCCACAGAGTTTTTGATATCAGCAGGTAGAGGAGCGAAATCTCTCACCGCGATATTTATTTATTTTTAACTCCACCGTAGAACCGAGGCATGAAAAAATAAAAATAAATAAAAATAAAATGTTAATCATTCGCTCTCCCTAGAAGGCGCAGAAATCAGCTTCATCACTTTTCATCTTCGTAAAAAAAAAAATAAACCAGACGTCTTTAAAAAAAAAAAAAAAAAAACAGCTGGCAGCCGGGAAACAGTCAGTCAGCTGAACGGATCGATCGCCTCTGCTCTCGTTGTGTTTATGGTGAAAATGTTATTTGAGAAGCTAACACACACACGCATGCACGCACGCACGCACACACACACACACACACACACACACACACACACACACACTCACACTCACAGAGTTTCTGATGAAATGTGCAGCGGCAGGAGAAAATGTGAGAAAATATTTGGAGACTGTTGAAAGAATGTGGTTAATTTTCCCTGATGTCATCTCTTCTTTTGTTGTTTCAAATCTGGTTTCTTGATGTTTATAGGTGACGAGTGCTGGTGACTCTCTCTCTCTCTCTCTCTCTCTCTCTCTCTCTCTCTCTCTCTCTCTCTCTATCTCTCTCCCTCTCTCTCTCTCTCTCTCTCTGTCTCTCGCTCCCTCTCTCTCTGTTCTCGCCTCTCTTGTCTCTCTCTCTCTCGTGTCTCTTCTCTGTTCTTCCCTCTCTCTCCTCTCTCTCGCTCTCTCTCTCTCTCTGTCTCTCTGTCTCTCTCTCTCTGTCTCTCTCTCTCCCTCTCTCTCTCTCCCTCTCTCTCCCTCTCTCTCTCTCTCTCTCTGTCTCTCTCTGTCTCTCCCTCTCTCTCTCCCTCTCTCTCTCTCTCCCTTCCTCTCTCCCTCTCTCTCTCTCTGTCTCTTTCTCTCTGTCTCTCTCCCTCTCTCTCTCTCTCCCTTCCTCTCTCCCTCTCTCTCTCTCTGTCTCTTTCTCTCTCTCTCTCTCTCTCTCTCTCTCTCTCTCTCTCTCTCTCTCCCTCTCTCTCTCTTTCTCTCTCTCTCTGTCTCTCTCTGTCTCTCTCTCTCTCTCTCTCCCCCTCTCTCCCTCTCTCTCTCTCTCCCTCTCTCCCTCTCTCTCTCATTTACCACCTCAGCATAAAAAAAAAAAAATGTTTTCAAACGGAGACGCCGACTAGAAGAGAGATTCTCACGGATGACAGACATGCGGTTTCACGAGCTCTTCGTGATCCTTCAGTGTAAAAGTTTAACTCGACACCTTTCATTACAAACATGCAGCGCAAAAGTGCCGCACGCAGCAGGATGAAAACAGCCACGTTGTTTGCTGCTGCGGTGATTCTCAGGTCGAGAGTGTTAAATGAACGTGTCACCAAGGGAAAGATGAGCAGTAATGTACGTTGGATTTCTTGAGAAGAGGTTAAGAGTCTCGAAGCAGCTGCGGAGAAGAGTTTGTCAGACGCTGTGGAAGCGGGATCTAAACAGCTTTGGGAGGGATCTGGTCTAGAGCGCGAGAAGTGGAAGAAGTATTTCACTTCTGACGTCGTAGTCACATGGTTTGAAGGGAGATCCCAGGTCGTTTGAGCAGCTGCTTCTAGTAGAAAAACAAAGCATTCAGGACGGAGATGAGTTCTCGTGAAGAGCGAGAACTGGTGATGGATTTAGAAGAAGAGAAACTTTTTCTTTTCTTTTCAGCTGACAAATCGCAGCAGTTTAAAAAAAAATGTAATTCATCATTAAAATCAATCATCAAGGTCGCCGGCTGAGCGGCCGGTCGATGGAGGGAAAGGTAGCCGCCACACGTGAAAATCCTTCAATAACAGTGATGTGGCAAGATCAGAAACTTCTTGCAGGTGTTACAATCACAACTGTTGGGGAAAATGTTTGATTTCTCTCCGACATCATTATGTGCCATTATTAAATACATCGCACTTGTTTTGTCAGCAAATAATTCAGATGTTCGCTGAGCTGCTCTTAATGAGCTGCTGTAATTACTGCTCCTGCTTTTATAACTATTACAGTCATTTGAAGAAGGTTTGATTTAGGATCCGCTTTCATGTAAAACACAACATAGTGTGTGTGTGTGTGTGTGTGTGTGTGTGTGTGTGTGTGTGTGTGTGTGTGTGTGTGTGTGTGTGTGTGCAGAGTTATCAGTCCTCCTGTTAAAAGGAGGCGTCCTCTCAGCTGCTTCATATAGACTGTGAACTCCAGCTGTTAATTCCAGTACTATTGGTGTTGTTCCTGTTGTGGTGTTTTGTTTTTTTTAGCGTTTCTAGGACATTGTCCCTGTGAACATGTGAACTGCATGCAATTAGGACTCATTATTTTCCTTTTTCCTCCTTCAACAAAACAAAACAAGAAGCAAAACAAGCTTTATTAAGATTCTTTTTCTTTATTGCTGATTTAAAATTTCTTCTCCACCTCTATATCGGATATAGAAAGTGGTGTGTGTGTTTGTGATTCCCCTCAGGTTGACCTCACCTCCACAGTGCTGCAGTGGAGCTCGTGTATTTTGTTCGGAAATTCTGCAGATGAAAAGAAGATATTCAAATCGTGGCTGAGATTTTCCTCGCCATGAGAGCTCAGCAGTTTCAGGCTGCCTGACCTTGGTGCGCTGATATTGTACAGTACAAATTACGAGACACAAAAACCACGGAGGGAAAGGCTCCCTGTTGTAGGACCTGGGAGCCCCAGATACATTTAATGTGGCCGTCTTCACCAGACTCATAACAAAAGATGAAAACTTTTCAACAGTTTAGAAGCTTGGCCTTGTTAATATTCAGAGGAAATACAACCAAAGACCCAACGCCACAAAATTAGACGAGCTAAAATCGAGTAACAGTATCCTCGAACTAAAGAAAGAAAAGCTCTAACACACTCCCTCTTCCTCTCCGTCCCTGCAGAGGTTATCGCCGTGGATCGGCCTGAGGAAGATCAACGTGTCGTACTGGGGGTGGGAGGACGCGTCGCCCTTCACCAACACCAGCCTGCGATGGTTGCCGGGAGAGCCCAGCGACTCGGGCTTCTGCGCCTACCTGGAGCGGGCTCAGGTGGCCGGACTCAAGGCCAACCCCTGCACCGCCACCACGGACGGCCTGATCTGCGAGAAACCCGCCGGTGAGGACGGACGAGCGAAACACAAAAGGAGAGAAAATGAAAATATAGAAAACAGCAGTTACATGAATAATCAGCCGCTGATAACAACTAAATAAATAACCTTTTGCTCCATCTGTCCCATCGCTCAGGGAGCCCACAGAGTCAGAGCGCTCGTCCCTGCAAGACTCCCTGCGCTCTGCGAACCACCTGCGCCAACTGCACCAGCCAGGCCATGGAGTGCATGTGGTGCGGCAGCGCGCACCGCTGCGTCGACTCCTCGGCGTACGTCATCTCCTTCCCCTACGGACAGTGTCTGGAATGGCAGACCCAAGACTGCGCTGGTGAGACTTTGAACCAAACTTTTATTACTTGTGAGGAAGTATTTTTTTTTACATTATGTTATTGCTATTTTTGCAAGAAAGTGACAGATTATTATTTCGCTTTTTTCTTCACTTTACTTTTGCTACGTCTGACGGTGTAGAAACGGTGTTTGTGTGTTTTGTATTTAATCACAGCCATGAAACTCTTAGCGCTTTGATTTATCATCAGCGCTGAGGCTCAGCTGTCTCCTTGGTGACTCCCAGGAGTCAAACTGACTCTATCAGCTATTGCAAGAGGAAAATCAACTACCTTCGGGACCGAAAAGTCTATAAGTGCACAAGAGTTGTGATGACAGCAGACGAGATTTTAGAAAAACAAAGATGATGGGATGTGACTTTAGATGTGTATCTATCATCTTTATCTTTTGTTTTCGTTTGAAGAAGTCACAGAATCAGAATACATGTGGTCTGCAGCAGAGACAGGCAGATGATCAGACAGTGTGAAATACCCTATTAATACCTTTCATGATGCGAGTGTGTGTGAACATGGAGCCATTGTAGACTCCTATTGATCCCTTTCTTATCAGCAGTCTGGTCTACGCCTCCGTCACACTTACACACTTACACACACACACACACACACACAGACACACCCACAGACACTCTCCTGTAGCTACACGGCAGAAAATCGATCATCGGCAATGACACACGGCTGACTCGATATGAAGTCCTCGCCGCTGTCTTTTAACATTCCTCTCATGTTAACGCCTCCCCGGGGACGGTGGAGGGTTTTTTTTTCACTTTCACCGCCGCCACCGCCGCCACCTCTCCGTGTGGGAAGCACGGGAGCGTTTGTCATGAACCGTGGAACCAGACGCCGCTGTGACACTTATGAAGCGTTTGGTTGTTGGTCCGCATGAAAGGATTTTCCCGCCTAAATAAGGTTTCTGTAGTAGCTGCAGTCATTTATTACCTGCACCGAGGAGGTTAGGATTTAGATGGGCCAGGGAAGAACCCCCATTAACTTCTGGGGCAGATCCGGATCATTTACATATCCTCTTAAGTCTGGTGTTTGTTGTTTGGCCGAGCTCTTGTTCATACTGTCAAAAAATAGTTTGCAGTTCATTTTTTTTTTAATGATTTTTGTAAGTGAAAGTCAAATCCAGGTAGAAAACTAGTGGCAGGAAAGACAGAAGCTCAACAAACATTTCAACAAAGACACATGAACATCCCATTAGATTTTCTTATTTATTGCCATATATTGAGTGTAAGTCCAGTTCTATTCTGCAGCTGTGTATGTTTCAAACTGTCAAAGATTTTCCCCTCAACGCGAAACTTTTTATCTGTGTTTTCCGTCTTTTGTTAGACAAATAGTCGGTGTGTCACAGTGTTCCTGTTTCTGGAGTTAAGGGAACAGGTATATGTTTGTTAGGGGTGATTATTATTCCGTACTGGTGCCAGCAGCCCCGAGTACAGACAGCTCTCCAGCCTGCTGTTAGCAAAGCCAGAGATTGTTTTCCCGTCCTTCGTTTTTTTTACCTTCACTTCTCACACAATGCCACTGCTTCTCCCTCTTCTTATTGGAATTTATTTGGTGACAGAAGGTGCGTCGGAGGCGTTTGTTCTGCTACTTTTTTTTTTTACCTTTGTTGTTCAATGTAAATGGCGTATAATGTGAAGTATGACATTTTAGCTTTTCGGATTCCCAGACAGAGCGTCGTTGCTCATTTACAGTCCGTCACTCTTCGCCTTGAGTTTCATACTTGACGTTGTTCTGCTGCTTTCCCTTCGTTGCTTTTTCGGATTAATCACGTCTTGTTGTGGAAACCAGGCAGCGGAAGGATTCATGACCTCTGCTTTGGTCGCTGCTTTCACAAAAAAACAAACCATTGCTTGTCTGAGGATCTAATTTGAAGTGGGTCATTTCTTTATCAGATCAATTTGGCCCAAGGCTTTGTGTATCATTCCCAGTTTTCCTATCAGCTGGAGGCTAACTACACTCTCCTCAAACACAACCTCTTGAAATAATTGGCTTCAGCGTCGCCCCAGAAGTCAAATTTGGAGGTTTTGAGAGCTCCTTCAAAAGGAAGCTCATTTTCAGCCCCAGCCTTATTGTGTCGTTTTATGTTTTCCTCTCATAAAATGGACTTTTCTTTTTGCTTAAGTGACAATTTTGAGCTTTGCACTGCTGTTTTCTTTCCTTTTTTTCTCTCTCCAGCCTTTCACCTCTCCGCCTCGAGCATCTGGTCCCTAACGCTCTTGTACCTGCAGCTGTGACGCGCTGAAATCAGCAGCTGTAAATTAGTTTATGAATGTCCCTTTTCTTTTTAGACGTCGGCAGCTCAACGTCGCTCGGCTCTGTAGTTTGTGAGGTGTATTTCAGCAATAGCTACAATTGGATGCCCACGTTCAGGCATTGATCCTGCATCTATCATCTGATGCTAGTTCAAATTTCAACAGTATTTGTGATCATGCTAATTAATCAATACCAAATATCAGAAACAGAAGAACGGAAATTTACATTCTGCAAAGACCACGACTGGAGCTTGATTTCTGAGTGCGGTGTTTGTGATCACAGCTGCACAAAGAAAACAGCTGATGAAACTGATGTATAAAGAAACTTTAAAAAACATCACACTCATTCAGACACTTGTTTTTACTACATGGTAAAAAAAAATAGTTCTGTCAAAAATAAAAGGCTTTTGTCAGTATATTAATGTTCTTTGATAATTACACAGCGTTTGATTAATTTGAATAAACTTGTGTAGTTTAATCTGTAATGATTCATCATGTTTTATAAACTTGTCCCATGTTTTGTTTTGTAACTAGTAGCTATAGTTAGATAAAACGTATAATAATAATTAGGTAGAATATTTCCATATTTTGCTGCTTTTTATTTTCAAAGTTAATTAACTCAGTAATTTAAACGCACTTAATTCCAGCTCTGTGAGTGTGGTCACTCGTTGTGGTTGCAGGTTCATTCTCTTGTTGCGTTGTCCTAAACTCTGGGGTCTGTGTATAAAAAGGTTTTAAGCGTCCTGCACTAATCGCCCGGTAAACCCTCCACCAACATCCTCCAAAATAAAAGTCAGCACTTTAACCTGATAAGATTTCCACACAACAAAAGCAGCACAACCTGCTGCCTCTAAAACACCTTCCTGCCCCTGCCACAGCACAAAGATGGGATTATATACAGGTGTATTGGATTACACACACACACACACACACACACACACACACACACACACACACACACACGGAGGCTGGATGATTGTTATGTTGTTTTAGTTGATACTGGTTTTGCTGCAGAGAAATAGCCTTATTTTCTCTGAGGCAATCTTGTGTGTGTGTGTGTGTGTGGGTGTGTGTGTGTGTGTGTGTGGGTGGGTGTGTGTGTGTGTGTGTGTGGGTGGGTGTGTGTGTGTGTGTGTGTGGGTGGGTGTGTGTGTGTGTGTGTGTGTCTGTCTATCCCACATGATATGTGCTGTTTTGTAGCTTCACATGCTTGGAGAAGAGAAGGCAGCTTATGGCTCCTGCACTTGATGTATTATGTATGGCGCGCTCACAGATCTGTATGCTACTGGCTGCAGCGATGCTAACTGTCAAACCACTGTAGGAGCAAATGGATTACACAAGATGAAGCCGGATGATACGAGCTATCCAGGGACACCGAATATCAAACCTGGTGTGATGAACAGAATGTGGCACCGAGACGATTGTGCTTCTTGAGAAGATGAGAATTCCCTCAGTAGGAACAAGCCATTTTTTTCCTTCTTCTCTGCTGCAACACTGGTAGCCCAAGTTCCTCAGAACATGTGTCATCTGTTGTGTTTAGTTTCTGTCAGTGACGACAGTTGATACACTGATTTCAGCAGAGCCGTATATTTCGGGGGGAAGGTTCTGGAAACAAACACAACAGTGGAGTAGAAACATATATAAAGGCATTAAGCCTCTGTGAGACTCGTGTCTTTGACCTAGTTACTACAGTTGTGTCTTTTCCGCTCATTCTCATTCACATGAAGTTTTAGAAAACATAGAGATGTGGTTGTTCCCCGACTTTGACCAATAATGATTATGAAAAGCTTCAGTTGATATCAGTATATATTTTAGAGAATCCTGTGACTTTCGATCCGGCAGCTTCAGCAGACTGAAGTCCACAGAGGACGACTGTTGTTCATCGTGCACCACCAGCACGTTACTCTTCTTCTTCTTCTGTGTTTTATTTTGAAAGTGTTGATGCATGTAAACCTTCTGCTGCATCACCCTCACACGGCGACGCCGCCCACTAACCAGTTTCCACATTTTCTCCAACACAGCTGCTCAGGAGGAAAAACAAAAACAAACTTCATGGGATTAAGCTGCTGTTACTATATATTTTTTATTGTCAACGAATCATATTAACAGAGCGATTATGTGCTTGTCTCTCTGTACACCGACTAAACTTGTTCGTTTAAGCCATTGCTGTGAGCGAGGCTTCACATCTATCAGCTGAAACGCATCAGTCTGCGGTTCAAGCAGAACTCTCTATCCTGCGCATGTTAAATTAGCCCGGCCCTAACTCATAATTTAATTGCAGTGAAATGCAATAAATGGAAATTAAATTACAGTTGTGCCTCTTCGCTCACCTCCTGTCGTGAGCACAGGAGAGTGTTTGCTTTGCTGCTGAGTTGTGCACACACAGTGAAGTCAGAGTAATCTTCCCCTTGTTTTTTTGGAAGAGAAATTACAGGAACATAAACATCGGAGCAGGTTTAAGTACATAAATCAGTGTCGTTATTTTTATATCAACAGATATTCACACAGGAGAAAAATATCCGGAGGTCAACATTCTCATCTTCGGAGCATGATTACGATCACATGTGAAACGTGTTCTCCACCCTCATGGGAAATGTAGGCACCATCCAAAAGGACGGTTGCTCTCCCGATAGCCTGGAGCTAACAGCACGAGCCTTGTAAACCCGCAGGGCACATGTGTCCATCCACCTGTTTCCATCCGTCTCCCTCTCATCCTCGTCTACCCCGAGTCCGCAAGACTACATGAGACAATAACCTCTCTTACTTCTCTGCGCGTGGAGCACAGATGAAGCCAGATAATTGGAAATGCTGCTAAAAATAGAGAAGACCACTAAGGCAGAGAGAACATGTCAGCTAAATTATATTATTTGCACAAACCGCAGTTATGTAAGTGAACATCTAAGGACTTCACGTTTTCAGTCCACGCAGGGATTTGTTTTTGCCTGCCGTCTCTCACTCCTGTACGAGCTGCTTTTTCCTCCTCAGGGGCCCATTTCATCATATTTGTGGCATCCAGGCTGGTGCCTGAATTATTCAATCCGTTCGCTCTCACGGATTTTGACATGTTTCTCGAATGAATTGCAGTCAGGAGCTGCAAATGCCCCTTGCAATGTGTGTTCGGGGAGGCGGTCTGTGCGCAGAGATTAAATCTGCAGCAGGATATATTTTAAAGTGTGAGGTGTGAGTGTCATGTAGTACTGTCCGCTGTGAGTGCTCTCGCCTCTCTCTCTCTCTCTCTCTCTCTCTCAGTCGTTCCCACATTGGTGATAAAAGTGACACCGTGTGAGAGCCCTGCAGAGATACAGCATCAAACTTTCTGTGAAATGTGATGCTGCAGCGTTTTGCCTGTTTCTTTGTGAAATAAGTTCCCGGTTGTTCTGAAAGTAATTGCTTTGCAAAGCCGGACCACCTCTCCAGAGCTCAGTGTTTATGAGATTCATGTGGGTTAAAATCATAATGTAACCTCTGTCTCTTGAAACTCCTTAACCTTATAAATGAGATATGTAGGTATAAAATGTATTTCTTTTTTCCTGGATCGTGTGATAAGTGGTAAAGCTTGGATGAAATTTGTAGAAGAGGAAGTAAAGAAAAAAAAAATCTGAATAGCAGTGAAGTTAGCTGCAGAAAAATGGACAAGACTAATACTAATAGATCCAAGGTGTCGACGCTTTGTGTGTCATAGTTTCGGAGTTATTGTAAAATATGTAAGTTGCTTTATACAACGGGCCACAAACAGAGTTAAGTTATAAGATAACTAAAAAAAAAATGTTATACTTTGCCTCGTTAGTCATCATCTCATTAAGATTTATACAGACGGGTGAGAATGTAAAGATAAAACCAACGTAAAGTGTCTTAGAAAGGTGTTGTTCCACCAAGTGTAGGAGAAATATGACTGTTTCTGATAGTGGTGAAAAAGAGACGTCATGTTAATGTGGGGCGGAGGGGGGGTGGGTGGGGGGGGGGTATCAAGCAAGTGCCCGCTGAGCATTACTCGATCATTATGAGTGAAGCCAAACTGTGGGCTGGCGCTGCGAGTCTAATAAACCTGACCTGCGGGGACACAAATTAGCCGCCGCTAAATGGGCGCAAATTGGATCCATTAAATCAAAAGAGAAGCAAAGAATTTTGTTCCATTAAAATGTGAAGGTTTGGTGGAAGAAAAAGCGTGGGAGTTACACGGAGCAGCCACCAATTTCCTTCCATTTGAATCGTATTTTAAAATGATAAACAGGGCTGGTGTATTCATTGGATATTAAAGTCTGCTCTTGGGTATGTAAATATGTGCTTTTCTAGCAAAGGAATCCCTACTGTGTGGTGGATTAGGGATATTCTGTTGAACTGCCTCTCTTTGAACTAGTGACTATAGTGGAGATCCAGTGAGTTGTCAGGGAGAGAGAAAAAAAAAGAAGAGGGGAGGAAACCAGAGGGAAGAGCACGGTGAGAGAAGATGAAGAAAAAGTAGAAGAGCTTCATCCTTTGTGATTTTATTTATGCCTAAAGTGTTTTAAAGTAATCCAGAAAAAAAAAAAATCTAATTAAATCAAAATGGCTGGAAATGAAGGGGGGAGAGGAGAGGAGGGGGGAGGGGGGGGAGGGGGGGGATAATGGTGAAGAAAGCAGCACTGAGTGAGAGCAAGAGGGGAAGACAGCTTAGTGAATAGAAATAGAAAATAAGATGCAGGAGAGGAGGATAAAAAATGTGGCAGAGAGGAGATAAAGAGTGAATCTGAGAAAGGGAGAGCAGAAGTTTGTAATTATAAAGAGGGAGGGAGAACAAATGAATCAGCATTGCTGCAGTTGAATAATGCAACGGAGGAGCTTGCAAACACACACTCAGAGGAAAAAAGGGGGGAGTATTTCAAGCACAGCTAGCTAACAGGGACACACAGAGAGAGAGAGAGAGAGAGAGAGATACAGGTTCAGCTAGAACATCTGTGGCTTATGGAAATGTCTCTTGTTCAAAAGAGATGCGAACTTCTGGTGGAGAAAAAAAAAAAAAATGCTAATTTGACTTGATGCTGCGTTTGAATCTTCTCGCCGGGCTATAAGAAACAACACCTCGGATAACTTCCCTCAACCTTTTGGTTTTCATGCGCACACACGCCGAGTTACCCACCGAGCCTTTACCCTGTCTCTGCGAGCTCTCTCTCTCACTCTCTCTCTCCACGAGTGTGTGTGTGTGTGTGTGTGTGTTCCCCACCCTCACTTTGTAGACTGAAATTTATTATGACAGGAAGGGGACGGCTTGATGTCGAGAGCGAGAGCAAAGCGAAGACTGAGGGGTTCAAAAAAAAAAAAGAAAGAAAAAGAATCGAGCTGTGAAGTTAACTTTGGAAGGCCGGCTTCTCCAGGAAAACACTTGATTTCTTATTCCTGTCACCTGTCGCCTCCTCGCCGCCGCGTTCAGCCACACAAAAGACGGCTTCAGGATGGAGATTCTACTTTTCTTTTACGAGCACTGAATGAATGCCATGCCGCGGAAAGAAAAAAAAAAAGTGTCATTTTTAATTTGCACCAGTGAAACGTTTTTTGAATGTCACGTCCACTGTATGAATACAAATGCTTTTTTCTCCCCACATGGAAAGTCAATTTCTTTATAAATGTTGTGGGTCAAAGTAAATGTGAAAACAGAAGACGCAAAGTATATTAGAGGGGGGTAGATTACATCGCTAAAGGGTTTTTATTGTGTTAACGCTTTGGTTGAGGCTGTTGGGATTAGCTGTAGTACAGTGTGAAGGACACAATATGGTCATATTTATTATTTAAAGCTTCGTTTTCAGCCTGAATGTGTGTTGAGGACATTTTCAATGAGTAAAAATGCACTAAAAATAGGCCTGAATAATGCATTTAAAGGTCTCATACAGTCTAAAGATAGATGTCCATGTGTAGTGTGATTATAGATCAGCTCTAGCTTCTATATTAATACTGTGAAAGTATCAAAGCCTCAGTCCACAGAGAAATGCACACAGCCTGTATTCAGAAACTGAGCCTTAAAACCAGCCGTCAGGACTTCTGGAACTTTGTGATGTCACAACAAAGCAGTCACCAAGCCCCGCCCACCTGGACCCACCATCCAAACCTTGCAGGATTTGGTTTCTCTGAGTGTTTTTTACCTGAAATCTGCTTTATTTTTATTGGATCACTCAGAAAACAAGTCAGCCAATCAGAAGAGATGCTCAGAGCCTCCTCTCTTCTGATTGGCTCACAGACCTGTTGTTACTAGAGCTACAGAGAGAAGCCTGAGAGAGGAGATGTAAAACTACACTGAGATGGTTTTTATATCTTCTTATGGATCAACACAAAATATTGGATATTTAAGGCCATAATTCACCTTTCAATCGAAAATTCAATCAGAAATATTAATTAGTCAATGATCTAAACAATTAAAGACACCGTGAATTTTACACAAATGAAGTTATTTAGAGTTTGAGTTGAGTTATAAATGTCTGACATTTGTGGTTATGCAGCTGACAAACAGCTTCTTGTTGCTGGTCTGACAGGGGAGAGAAGAAGTCAAGAGGCTGTTTCATGGTGCTGTGAACAATTATAAAAAGATGGAAAATGTCTCGCAACTAATTTTATACTTGAGTGTAATGACACGAGTTTGTATTTCCATTCCGCTCTCTAACTACCCCCCCACCCCCCCACCCCCCCTCTTCACCCTCCAGCTCAGAACTGCTCCGGTCTGAGGATGTGTGCAGAGTGTCTGGAGAGAGCGGAGTGCGGTTGGTGCGGCGACCCCAGCAACACCGGCAAGGGCGTTTGCATGGAGGGCTCATACCGAGGGCCTCTGAAGCCGGCACACCCCAGGGCCGGGTCACGGGACCGGGACAGACTGCGAGACAGGGACATGGCGCTGGACCAGAGTCTCTGCACGTCTGACAGAGGCTATAACTGGGCCTTCATCCAGTGTCCGGGTGAGTTGAACCGCTGCAACTGGTTTAAGGTTCAGCACGTCTCTTTGGGTCAGAATACATTTACATGCTAAATATCACCGGTCACAGTAAGGTGGAGGTGGCGTTCAGGTGACGCTTCTTTACATGCACCTTTGATACGCCAGGTGAGTCACTGCGCCCGTAACCCTGAAGTTGAATTAACACCTCTTTGACACTGTAACTTTGCATTATAACCTTTCTGAAGGTATTATTATTGCAATGCTGTTCTATTAGACTGGCGACTGACTGTGTGTGTGTGTGTGTGTGTGTGTGTGTGTGTGTGTGTGTCTGTGTGTGTGTGTGTGTGTGTGTGTGTGTGTGTGTGTCTAATATCCTCCCAGCTTGTCAGTGTAATGGTCACAGCAGGTGTGTGAACGGCAGCGTGTGCGAGCGCTGTGGGAACCTGACAGCAGGGACGCACTGCCAGAGCTGCATGCCCGGTTACTATGGCGACCCCATCAACGGAGGGAAATGCAACGGTGAGTGCAAAGGTGTCACAGAGGGGTTTTTTTTTTTTTTTGCTCTCTGCGAAACGTCTCACCTACAATGTTTCGTCTGTTTGATTCTTATGTGCAAGTTTATTTTTTCTATGTTTCAATTCTAGAGAGAAAAGCTGTAGATGTGATCTGCGTGTTTTGCTTCTATCTACGTGTCGTCTTCTGTTCTTCCCTTTTATAAACATGACAGGTGCATGAGCAGCCACCTGCCACGTTGTAATAGACACAAACAACCTGACGGGGGCAGCGTTTAGAAGCCGTGAGCCCAGGCTTTGGTTTCCACAGAGCCTGCGGTGGCGAGCAGAGCACTGGTTACAGAAAAACAGGAAGTACAAGTACAGCCTCCTTCAGTGTCCGCTCCCACTTCCTGTCGTTTTCTCATGGATGGCAGTGGAGAGTATCCTCCTGCTTTATCCACGCTTTGTTTTTGCTTCATATGGATTTAATCGCAGCAAATCCCAGGGTCCAAATTGTTAACAGCAGCGTGCGAGTCGGATCATAGAAACGAGGGGGGGGGGGGGGGGGGTCAGAGACAGGAGAGTGTAATGAATGAGTGAGCCACTGCTGGACTGCGAGGGAGGGAGGGAGGGAGGGAGAAGTGCGAGGGAGGTGCAGTAGCATCAGTCTCGCTGTGACAGATGTGCGTTTCGGCTTGACGGCGGCGTGACATTAAATCGCTCTTAATCATTTTCTTATTTCCTGAGTTGACTGGTGTCTACGTCCCTGGCGGCGCTTCGTGGCGAGTGGGGGCGCTGATAGATGCACGCCTCTCGTCGCCTCCGTACAGGACGGCCTCTCCCTTCCACTTCGCATTTCCTTCTTGCCAACCCCCCCCCCCCCCCAAACATCCTGTCTCTCTGTGTATTTGGCTTTTTGCTCATTCTCTCTTTAACATCCTCCTTGTCACATTTTCCTGCTGCTTCTCTGCCCACGTTCCATTCTTCACACCTCTTTTATGCCTCCTTTCCTTTTATGGCTCTCACCATATTTTCTCCATCCTGTCCTTTCTTTCATCTCTCCTTTCTTCTCCTCCTTTCCTTTCCTTTCCTTTCCTCTTCATCTTCTTTACTCTCCTTTCCCATCCTTTCCCTTTCTTTCCTTTCTTCCTTTTTCCTCTCATCGCCCCCTCTCTCGTCTCCTCGATCCTTCTCTACTCCCTTCCCTCTTGTCTCCTAACGACTTGTTTCATTTAATTTTCTCCTCTTTCTCCACATTTTGTCTCCTCTCCTTTCCCGTTTTTCTCCTCTCCTTGATTTAATTCCTTCTCCTTTGCTTCTTCGCTCTCCTCTCTTCCCATTTCCTCTGCTCTGCAATAACGTGCTGGTTAAACTGGATTTGTAGACAGACGTGTATCATCGGTCCCCGCCGCCTCCACGCTGTCGACCCATCCGCCTCCCATTTGCCTTCATCTCCTCGCAGCTATCCCTTCATTTTCACCTCTTCTACTTCCTTACCGTTCACATTAACCCTCCGTCTTAAACCCCCGCCCCCCTCGTTCATCCATCCATCAGTCCATTCATCCTTCTTCCTCTCTTTATTTCTCTTTATAAAAAGGACCAGTAGATTTACCTTGGGCTGAGCGGCCGGGGGGGCGATGATGTGCAGCTGATTAGGGTACTGAATGATAGAGAGACAGCTTTGTCGCTACCAGTGAGAGGAAAAGGCCTTGGCTCATGGGGTTGTAAAGAAGATGGAGGGGTGAGAAGAGCCAGTGGAGGGTGGGGGGGGGGCGGAGACAAAGACAGGCAGACAGAGAACGAAAGAGATAAAATCATGTGGTGAGATATACAAGGTTAATATCGGTGGAAAAGGACAGTTGCTCCTGGATGGAGAGACGATGGAGGGATGGAGGAGGAGATGGAGGGATGAACGGAGAGGAAGAGACGGAGGACAGACAGAGGAGAGGGGAGTCTGTCCGTCCCCACGTCCCTGTGACAGATGATTAACTAACCTTGTCAAATCTGGATGAAGTGTGTGTGTGTGTGTGTGTGTGTGTGTGTCCCTTTTCTCTGACTGTACCATTAACCTTGTCCTGCATACATACGAAATCAAACGCACCCGCTCCAAACTTGAGAGCTTCGGCTGACAACATGATGGATGTGTGTTTGGACTTTGAGGCCCTCGGCGGAGACGCCGCGTTGCGGAGGCCGACAGGAAAGCGGCGTGTTTTTTATGCACATCCTGGGAGCCTTTGTTCTGCTGATTTTTCTCGGCTCCTTTTTTTTTTTTATTACAGCGCAGAGACGCTCTGATGTTTTCTAAACATTTACCCTTTAATGATGTTTATCAGGGGAGTGCACTCGCTGGCGTTGCAGATGGAAAGCGTGCACACCTGCAGGCGGAGCGACCACAGCCGCGCCGCTGAGCGGTTATGCGGTTTGTTGTTTGCTTAATGGCATGTTAACGGTAGTGTTTTTAGGACGGGAGAGTTCAGGCGGATTTATGTGTCTGTGTCACGGTGTTAATGCGCTGAGGCCCAGCCAAAGTCTCCCTCCTCCAATCTGTGACTGAGTCTTATTAGTTAGTGCCGAAGCTCGTAGTTAATTACTCGTTTAATTGAATCACATAAAGTGAATTTCTTTTCTTTCTTTCTTTTTTTTTTATCTTATTGTAAATTGAATCTGTTTGAGTTTGTGGATAAAACACGAACTTTGAAGACGTCACCTTTTGGCTCCAGGGAACTATTTTCTGACATTTCACGGAACCAAACAACCAACGAGAAAATAACCCGAAGATGAGTCGATATAAAAAAAAATAAAAAACAGTGGACTGTTGAAGTTAATCCGATGTGACACCTGCCCATTCCTCTTTTAGAAAGTGACTAACAGAATGAACGGTGCACAGTCACTTCATAAGGAGGGCGCTGTGATACATCCATCACTTCCTGAGGAGGTTATCTGGCAATCAATGGGTTAAATCGTACACTACATTACAAAAGAAAATCAGTTCTTATTATATTTGCAGCTGAAATTTAAAGTTAATGTGATAAACAAACATTCATGAATACACAACAGTTTAAAATTAAGAAAATAACTAAAATAAACAAAGCTACAAAACTGAAAATCATGAAGAAGTCTGATTATTACTTTTAGTCACAGCAGGGAACTTGGTTTCCCTCATATGTAGGAAACACTGGTTGTGTCCAGGTAATCTGTTGATGTTAAAAACTGGCCATTAGGAGACGGACCGCTGTGCTGCAGCGCCGCCCTCTGCTTTGTCTTCCAGGCGAGACCCGGGCTTGTATTATTTCTTCTTGTGCTTGTTATCTTTTCCCGCCCGGCGCTGCGGCGTAGGATGCTCCTCCGCCATCGGCACCTCACGCTGAACAGTTTTATTGCTTCCATAAATTTTGCATGATTCACATCAGTAGCTCCCTGTCTCCATCTCGCTCTGATGCTCTCTCTCTCCCTGCGCTACCTGACTCGCGCTCTCTGCGGCGGTGTGGCGTGAAGACTCTCCCATCACACGGTAGACACAGCACAAGTGGAAGGTTGCTGCCGGGTCTCGAGCACGTTCAGTCCCGTCGTGTTCAGCTCAGTTCAGAGCTCGTTTCCTGACGAGGCCGCGCGGGACTCGCTGTTCTTCGGTTTTCTCTTCTTTTTTTGTCCAACAGGAAAAGATTTAAAGATAAAAATAGAACTCAGTGTGTTATACATTCATTAAAAGAGAGAGATGAGATCTTGATATGAAGTGTGGAGGATTTGTTCCTCTGGGTCTGTGGTGAGAGCACAGATATCCTCTGATTTTCCAGCGGTCATACACTTTAGTTAACTTATGTTTGGAAGTTAAGGTGAACACTCGCTGACGTTTGGAGAGTCATGAATAGTTGTTCTTCTCCGGGGTCATTCAGGCTGCGCTCGGCCTGTTGGGTACGAGCCTTATAGTCGCCTTAAATCTCTCGTTAAAGTTTGCGTCTGTTGGGCGGCAGCAGCACTCGTCGGTTTCTTTCAGCCATGAAGTAGTTTTAGTTTCCTCAGACCTTAAAGTTCAGGTTGTTTGAGGCGGTTTTGTGTGAGGTAGTTACCTACAGTCGGTGAATTACCTGCAGTAGATTCAGATCAGTGCAGCGGTGTCATCTGCAAAAATCTGCATCTTGTCGCTTGTGAACCGCTGAACTACCGCATTACTCAGCACAAGCGCACCTACGTCGTGCGCTGTATTACTTTATTATTATTAGAAATAGCTAAGCCTTATATATACGGTAGAATACGGTAGTTCAACAGTTGGGAAAATGTAGTTCCAAAGGAAAGCGCTGCGTGGCGGCGAGATAAAGTGGTGAAAATATTCAAAATAAAACGACCTGTTTTCTACCTCCAGTGTGAAGTGAATGCAACATTACTTTGTGTTGCTATTATCTCTTCCCAGGAAGTAAAAAAAAAAAAAAAAAACAATCATCAAAATGAGAAGTTGCTTCTCAGGAAAACTTACTACTTCACACTCTGGGTAATTTTCATCGTTTGAACAAACCGGTGATGCTGTTATTTTTTTAGTGAGGTGATCTTTTGTGTGAACCGATCATATATTGTTTTCCTCCTCCTCCCTCCCTCCCTCTCTCTTCCTCCCTCCCTCCCTCTCTCTTCCTCCCTCTCTCTGTCTCTATCTATCCTCAGTTTGGAAGTGTTGATGTACAGTCTCTGAGCGGGGTGCGACAGCGGGAGTCCTTTGTAAATTTGTGTTCAGTGCAGGAGCTATAGAGATGTTGAGTGCTGTCTCTGCAAGAAACTGGCAACACAGCAGCATCAACCAGAGACTGGGAACGGCAGGACAGCGGGGTAGTGTGTGTGTGCCTGTGTTTGTGTGTGTGTGTGTGTGTGTGTGTGTGTGTGTGTGTGTGTGTGTGTGTGTGTGTGTGTGTGTGTGTGAGAGAGAGAGAGAGAGAGAGAGTGAGCTGGATCACACAGAGCCAGCTGTTGTTGAGCTTTAGCAGCAGTAGAGTAGCAGAGGAAGGATGCTGCCTGCAGAGTCGCTCCATTCAGTCTTCT